GGGAGAGCCGGGACAGGCCGGGGAGAGGCTGTCACGGGCTCCCACCCCCGGGCAGAGCTTGCTCCCTCCTTCTGCTGGCGTTTGGGGGTCGTTCTGCTGGCGTGCCGTGCTGGGGCAGCTTGGGATGAGTCCTGTCAGCTGAGTTCTCCCAGACTGAGCCTCTCCCCGCTCCCAGCTAACCCAGATAAATCTACTGAGGCAGAAGCGAGCTCATTTGCAATTCGTAGAAATCCCCAGGAATATGAACGTTGATCTGAGGCCTCGTTAACAATCCATCATTAAGGCAGCAACATATTCAGTGCATTCAGAAATAGGCTTCGGAGGAGAGAGCGTGTCCTAATTAGGACACTTATTAACTAGCTGTGAGCCAGGCGCTCCTGCCAGCTGCGAGGGGGAGAGGAGAGACCCCCAGTGCTGTGGGGCCCTCTCCGTAGCCTAAAATAGGGCTGCAGCGAGGCTGTTGTTTGGTGTCCCGTGCCCGAAGGGGAGGGAAGGAGGAGTGTGGGTGCTGAGGACCTGCTGCGCTCCAACACTTGCCTTCCCTGCCAGCTGTGGGTGCCGTGGGGATCGGCCGGGCTCTCGCCGGAGCAGGCAGGGCGCTCTTTGTCACCAGCCCAGGGGTCCCGCAGGCAGTGTGACGGTGGTTCTGTCTTTGGGAGCAGGTGCAGGCGGAGCGGGATGAGCTCTACCAGAAGTTCACCAAAGCCATTAACGAGGTGCAGCAGAAGACAGGTTTCAAGAACCTGCTCCTGGAACGCAAGCTGAAAGGACTCCTCAGCGTCCTGGAGAAAAAGGAGGTGGAGCTCAGCGAGGTCTTGGCAGCCTCCAACCTCGACCCAAGTGCCGTCTCCTTGGTCTCACGGAAGCTGGAGGTACCGTGGGATGCTGTGGGACTCTGCCAAGGCTGGCCTTGGGGGGCAGAGGCGGCTCTGGGGTGAGGGCAGGGTGAGAGCGTGAGTCTCTGTCCTACGTGGCTGTAGCCGCCACATTGCTTGTTCCCAGCACTCCCGGTGCCATGTGCAGTGCCGCAGGGCTCTCCCTCGAGAGCGGAGTGTGTGGGTGTTGGAGTTTGGCACTGATCTCTCCTGTTTCGAGGAGGATGGCCCCAGGCTGAGTGGCGCTTACTGGCGCTCTGCAGCCGAGCAACCGGCTGCGTCTGGGGTCCGGCTGCGACCCGGGGTGCTCAGAGTTGCAGCCAGTCACCCTCCCTGGGCTGCAGAGACGGGCTTCCCGGGGCTCCGCAGCGTCTGCCCTGCTAAAAATACATAAGCA